AGTCTTTCTTATCTTTCTATAAGAATGCAATATTTTCAAAATACATGTTACAGAAAACACATATTACACATGGTATAAAGCAACAAAATTTATAGAATTAAATGATATATGAAAACTTGAATGATGACTGAATTCTTATCTTCTTATGGATCTCATTCTATTTTAGAACACTCAACCAGTATACTTCTATTGCACTAATATTTTTGTCCAATATTTGCTTCTTCAATAATCTAGAGTAATAGAGAAAATTGAAAGCTGTAATCCAGCTGTTTTCTGGGGTGAAGGATAACTCAAATGAGTAAGAAAAGGAGACAAAGACCTCAAACCATCCAATCAAACATACTACCATTAACAAAATCCAGCACCATCCCTGATGGGCTGTCCCTGTCAGCTCCTTCCTATTGTATTTGCCCAGACTTTTTAGACAGCTTTAAGCCAATTTCAATGTCCTCATTCATTCACCACCTTAGAAACAACCAAGGCTATTTTAGGACTGTTACCTCTAAGGTTCTAAATATTTTTTTTTTTTTCAGATTTTGCTCAAAATTTAGACTGGACAGCTTAGGTTACCAGTTATTACCTAACACAATGACTGAAACATAGCAGATGCTCAATGTACGATGCACAATCTGCTTTGCGTACAATGGAATCAGTTCTTCCTATTAATGACTGCCAATGAAAATCTGAGAAATTCTCCTTCTAAAAAAATATTTTTCAAACTGTGTGGGATATCCTAGTCATAAATTACATTTTGGCAATTATGAAGTTGGCTCATCAATCAGATGGAAAGGAAAAGTACTCTCAAAATATTAGAAAGACTGAAAAGCTAAACAAGATGTTCAATTGAGGGCTGAACTGAAATAAATATTTTTAAGTGGATGACAGCCACAAACCTGGTGGTTGTACTGTCCACGAATGGGTAAATATAGTTTAGTTAAAGTAAACTCGGGGGGGGGGGGGGGGGGGGGGGAGTAAATGGGGTGTGGGGGAGTGTGATCTTCAAGCTTAGTGGTTTCCAAACTTCTTTTAGAAAGTACTGTAATTTTTGCCGAAGCCGGTTTGGCTCAGTGGTAGAGCGTCGGTCTGCGGACTGAAAGGTCCCAGGTTTGATTCAGGTCAAGGGCATGTACCTTGGTTGCGGGCACATCCCCAGTAGGGGGTGTGCAAGAGGCAGCTGGTCGATGTTTCTCTCTCATCGATGTTTCTAGCTCTCTATCTCTCTCCCTTTCTCTCTGTTAAAAAAAAAAAATCAATAAAAAAAAGAAAGTACTGTAATTTTTTTTAACATTCATTATCTCATTAATCCTTACATAATCCATCTGAGGTAAGCTTTTAATCCCATTTTACATATGAAAGGCCCCAAAAAGTTGAGTAAATTGATCAGCCAGTAAAGTGGACAAAGACTGAACTTAAACTCAGTTCTAATGGACTCCCAGGATCCCAAGATCAAGCCCATACTCTCGTTATGTTGCCTCACTTGATTGCTAAATAGGCAAATGAAACCTATAAATGCATCAGGCTAATACTATTCCCTGCTGAAGCACTTCTAGAATATATTTTTTATTTTTAATTGTACTAAAACAGACATAACACAAAATTTACCTTTTTAATCATGTTTAATTATGCGAATACAGTGGCATTAAGTACAATCACATTGTTTATAACCATCATTACTATCCATTTCTAGAATGCTTTCATCTTATAAAACTGAGACTCTACCCATTAGGCAGTAACTCTGCATTTCCCCTTCCTGCGACCCCCTGGTAACCACCATTCTACTTTCCAGCTCTATGAATTTGACTACTATAAGTAATTCATGACTAACTTATTTCACTTAGCATTAATGCCTTCAAGATATTTATTTCAACCTAGCCCTCAACTGAACATCTTGTTTAGCTTTTCAGTCCTTCTAATATTTTGAGAGTACTTTTCCTTTCCACCTGATTGATGAACCAACTTCATAATTGCCAACATGTAATTTATGACTAGGATAACCACACAGTTTGAAAAATATTTTTGTAGTATGTCAGAATTTTTTTCCTTTCTAAGGCTGAATAATATTCCATTGTGTGTGTGTGTGTGTGTGTGTGTGTATGTATGTGTATATATATGTATGTATGTATATGTACACATACACACACGCATTTTGTTTATTTATTCATCCAATGAAGGGCACTTCGGGGGATTGTGAATAATGCTTCTTTTAATTATTTTGAATATGTAGCCTGTCTTAGTCTGCTCAGGCTGCCAAAACAAAATATCATAACCTGGATCACTTAAAACAATAGAAGATTTATGTCTAACAGTTCTGAAGGTTGAGAAATCCCCAAGATCATGGTGCAGTTGGTTCAGATCCTAGTGAGAACACTATCCTCATGTGGCAGAGAGGAAGGGGGAGAGACAGAGAGAGAGAGCAAGCTTTGTGGTGTCTCTTCTTATAAAGGGACCCTCATGATCTCTTTTAGCCATAACCTCTCAAAGGTCATGGCTATACCAAATACCATCATATTGTGTGTTAGGGCTTCAATATGTGGACACAAACATTCAGTCCATAACACACTCAGAAGTGGAATCACTGGATCAGACAGTAATTCTGTTTGTAATCGTCTGAGAAATGCCCACACTGTTTTCCATATGGCTACACAATTTTCATTCCCACAAATAGTATACAGGTTCCCAATTTCCCTACATCCTTGCCAACCCTTGGTGTTTTATGTTTATGTGATAGAAACTATCCTAATGGGTATGTGGTGGGCAGTAAAACTATTAATAGCTAATATACAAAACAGGAAAAAAAGAGAACCGCTCTGCCTTTAAAGCAAAAAACCTAGAACAAATCTAACATTACCCTCCTGCTTATGACAATCTGAAAGGTTCCACAAAAACTTTGGGGGGGAAATCTTGGGAAACAGACAGATAAGCCAGTCTTACATTGGGAAGTGGGGTACAAGTTGGATAGAGAAACACTGCTATTCAGGGTATCTCTGTTTTTCTAGTTCAACTGTATAACTTCCTAAAATCTAGGACATGAGAGAAAAATCCTGAGAACAAATGGGAATTACTGTGATTCAACTAGGAATAGAACATCACATTGGAGGAGTACCTAGGAAGATACACAGTTTTGCCTTCAAGTTTCCAGAAACTGAATAAATCACATATATATTATGTGACTACTAATATATTTTTATTCTGGTTCTTATAAATTTGTTTGTTTTCTATAGATAAAGAGGGCTGCTCCTACATTATATTATACTTAATAGTTCATAATTTTCTCTTCCCACCAGCACCCCCTCCCCAAATACATTTTCACTACAATAAAAGCTTAAACAGTGTGGGCCAAGTAGATTATTAGCTTTTGCATCAAAAACATCTAATAGACTACCTGGCACACAGTAGAAATTTAATAAGTGACACAGAATAAAGGGAGAGAAAGGAAAAACAAAAAGGAACATTTCTTGTACATATTGGCTGAGCTGATCTGAAATGAAACGCTCTCCCTATGATATAAAAGAAAGACTGCTAGCTGGCAATTAGGTCAACTACAAAAATATCACTAATGAGGTAAAAATATTAGATGAGCCACTCAAAACTTTGAATTCCATTTATTTCCTTGCTAAAGATAGAAATAAATAAAGCATTACTAGAGTACATTGTTACAAAGAACATGAAGTATTATAAAAATTGTAAAATAATAACAGTTGGACAATGATTATTTTTAAAAATATATATTTTATTGATTTTACACAGAGAGGAATTGAGAGGGACAGAGAGTTAGATACGTCGATGAGAGAGAAACACCGACCAGCTGCCTCTTGCACACCCCCCACTGGGGATGTGCCCACAACCAAGGTTCATGCCCTTGACCAGAATTGAACCTGGGACCTTTCAGTCCGCAGGCCGATGCTGTATCCACTGAGCCAAACCAGTCCCAGCGACAATGATTATTTTATTAATGAGAAGAATATCAGCCAGAAATCCAATGAGGTCATGATATTAATTATGTAGTAATAAACTTTGAAAAGATAGAGATTGATGAAAATGCTCAAGGAAGGAGCATTTTCAGATCTAGAAAGAGAAACAATTGAAGAGGTAGTAGAATGTGTTTTGATAGACTGAGGCTATAAAAAAGATATCTGTTATGGGCAGAGTTGAGTCCCCACCCTGGATTTCATATGTTGAAGCCCTAAACCAGTGAATTCTTGGGAGATAGGGCCTTTCAGGCAATAATTAAGTTAAATGAGGTCCTATGGGTAGGGCCCTTATTCATAGGACAGTTGTCTACATAAGAGGAAGAGACACAAGAGAGGTCTGCCTCCATGTGGGCACAGAAGGAAGGTCATGTAAAAACACAGTAAGAAGGCAGCCATCTACAAGGCAGGAAGGAGACCTCTCCAAAAACTAGCCCAGATGGAACTTTGATCTTGGACTTAAACCTTTAGAACTATAAGAATATAAATTTCTCCTTTATGCCATTCAGTCCATGGTATTTTATTATGGCAGCCTAAGCGAACTAATATATTATCCTTTTTCTTTTAACCTGAGCTAACTAAGTAGAAAGGACTTTGTAAGCACTATATGATATGCAGAAGCCATAAAGTTTAACTATATTTAAAAAAACTAAACACTTCAGCACAGTAAAAGCCACTAGAAAAGTTAAAGTACAACTAATACTTTCAATTTATAGGATAAAAAGCTATCAAATAAGGAATTTCTACAAACCAGTAACATAAATATTTAAAAAATAAGTCAAAGAATTTGACAGTTAAGAAAAAAAGTAAATAATAAACACATTAAAGATGTGCAAACTTACAATAACTAAAGAAATACTAATTAAAAAAACTTTTGTTGAATAGATGGAAAATGACTGCTAAAATCCTAATTCAAAATTAACAGAACTATTCTATAGCAACAAAATATAGATTGGAACAATTAGGCAATGACCAAAAGTCTAGAATAATTTTGAATCCATTTCTTTAAAACTTTAAAAAGAATTAACTAACCTGGGCAACTTTCATTGAATTCTGGGTAGAACCACCAGCATGATATTCGACTTTAAATTTTTTTACAAGTTCATTAAACCTGAAAGGAAACAACAGTAGAAAAAATAAGTTAGCATATGTCAGTTGTCACAATGCAAATTTCTGATTAGAAGCGCATTAAGTTGCAATTGGTGAAATTTTTAATTATATAATTATGATGCATATTGTATCATAATATTGTATAAAAAACTTTGCTACTACCCATACTTAAGAAATTTATTATATAAATGTACAACCATAAGAATTTAAAATATATAGGCTTTCCATTATTAAACTAAAGTTAGAAATAAAAATTCATAATTATAAGCAATGCATATTTTCCTACATTAAGTGTTGCTCTCTAAAATCCTTATAAATGTACCCTACCTAATGAAAGAGTGATATGCAAATTAACCATCACTCCATTCAAAACCATGCCCACCAGTCACACCCATCAGCCAATCAGAGTAAGTATGCAAATTAACCCCAACCAAGATGGATGCAGCCACAGAGAGCAGTTGAGAGGCACCCTACAGGGCAAACCAGCTGGTCCCCACCCATGCACCAGGCCTCTATCCTATCTAATAAAAGAGTAATATGCAGATTGACCACCACTCCAACACACAAGCTGGCTGCCCCCATGTGGTCAAAGATCCTGCCCAATTATTTAAAAAGAACTAAATATATATATATATATATATATATATGTATGTATGTATATCTCAAAGTCAAACAAAAAATACAAAGCAGAAAGTAAGTGATTGTGAATGAAACAGGCAAGGAAAGTTTAACATCTGGAACTGTAATTTGACAGATAGGGAGGAAAAATTATTCAAAAGAGTAAATACGAAAGACAGGACATATTCATAAAAACAGGTTAAACAGACTAAAATGTAGGTCAAAATAAAAGTAGTAAAAACTTACAAAGAAAAGGTAGGTTATTCTCTCTGCCAGACTAAAAAATTTAGACATTATTCAGTAGACAACTAGGAATTATTAAAATCTGTTTACTGCTAATATGAAAGCTAGCTGGTTTGTTTTTAAATGATTATAGCCCTATTTAAAGGACAGGGTGGAATAAAGGAAGGAAATATATTGTAAACCTGATATATAATATATATATAATATATAATATAACAAACATAATACTGTATACCAACTATAGTTATGTAGAAAAATTAAAAATAATAAAAAAGAGGTAGATCACCTGATTAGAATAGTTCATACCAAAGATCAGATACTGAGCTAACAGCTGGAGAAACATGATCAAGCTAAGGAATCATTTCTGAGGCTAAAGACATAGCATGTGATAAATAACTACAAATGGAAGATATGGCAGAGGAATGACAATTCATCTCAGACAATGCCATATCTTCTCATTGTAGTTCGGATGACTAGTTGGATGGTGTTTGAAAAGGAGATACAGGATAGAAGGAAAGTCATATGCAATAAAGAAAAATCCTAAATGGTTGAAAGACAAGCCAAAAACATTTCCAACCCTAGCTGGTTTGGCTCAGTGGAAAGAGCATTGGCCTGTGGACTGAAGGGTCCTGGGTTTGATTCCAATCAAGGGTACATGCCCGGATTGCAGGCTTAATGCCTATGCAGGAGGGAGCCAATCCATGGTTCTCTGTCATCATTGATGCTTCTCTCTCTCCCTTTCTAAAATTAAAAAAAAAAAAATTATATATATATATATATATATATATTATATATATATATATATTATATATATATATATATATATATATATATATATATATATATATATATATAATTTCCGATCAGGAAATTTATTGCAATGAGGCAATATTTGTTCCCTTTGATTTTCTATAATTTGAGCATCTGCTTATTTCAATTTATAGTGAAAGCATTTCTATTAAGGGTAACTTTTAAATAAAAGAGAATATCACTGGGGTTTAATTCAGAATTTCTTGCAGACTAATCTTATGGAAAAAACCAATATACTATATACTTCTAAATAAGTTTTAATATTTATTCTAATAATGTGTAGGGGAATTTAAATTCTACGTAATGCTTTCCACTCTCCTATCACATATTACTAAATACCTAACAACAATTTAGAATTCCTGACAATTAATATGATGGCTATCTATCTATCTATATCTATATTTATGCTTTGTTCCTTACAAGAAAAGTAAAATACAGGGAAGTAGAGGTTTCAAACACTAATGTAGTAGGCAAAACAGTGACTAAATTGTGCACCTGAAACCTGTGTAATTTTGTTAACCAGTGTCACCCAATAAATTCAATAAAAAGAAGTAGCTAATATAACCATGTATAGCTACCATACCTTAGAAAAATAATCACAGGACTCTTAATTCCACTGACTGAGATCCACACATAAGGATCTGAATGAAAAAGTAAGTCTTATTCCCATAATCTGGGCCAAGTATGGTTTAGTTCAATTTGTAAGATTTAAAGGTTTTAAAATCTAGAGCATTTTGAATTCCTATCTGCATTTGGTTTTTGGTTAAATAATTTATTTCAAAATATCTTTTTAAACTTTACATGAATTACCCATAAATTAGCAAGACAAATGGCAAAGTCATATAAATGTGAGAAACTGACAAGTCTGACATCCTATGATTTACAGTCTGAATAAGTCATAGTGATTCTAGTGATTAAGGATACTAAAGCATTGTTCATAATTTCTGACTTAAACATATAATTGATCAACTATTTTTAAAATAGACTTAGTGTTATAGAAATACTTTTTACTATCATTACTAACTTTGAGAAGGTTTTACTATCCAGAATATTATCAAGAACTCTCAAAATAATAAATTGGACAAAAAGAATAGTAACAAAGAAAAGATACAGATGACAAATAAGCATAGATTTTTTTAACATCATTACTAATTAGGGAAACACAAATTAAAACCATAAGGAGATATAGCCATTAAAACCATACGGAGATATAGCCATTAGAGTGACTTAAAAAACTGACAATACTAAGTGCTGAAAAGGATGTAAAGCAATTGAAATGCTTATAAAATAAAAATGAAAAATGGTACAGCCTCTTTAGAAAATAATTTGGCAATTTCTTTAAAAATTAAACATGTAGTTATCAGATAACTCAGGCACATGATGGGTTATAAAAGCCTTATTTATAATCAACAACCCACATATTCCTTCTCAATTAGTGAATGGATAAACAAATTGTAGTACATTCATACAAGGAATACTATTAAGCAATGAAAAGAAACAATGAATACATTCAAGAACATGACTGAATCACAGAAATATTAGGTTATGTTAAAGAACGCCAGACATTAAAGGCCTACATAAAATATGATCCTATTCATTTGACATTCTGGGTAAGATAAGCTATATGGATAGAAATCAGAGTAGTGATTGCCAGCAACTGAGGGTAGAGAAGAAACTGACTATAAAGAAATTTGAGTTCTAATTGGTTTGGCTCAGTGGATAGAGCGTTGGCCTCTGACTGAAGGGTCCCAGGTTCAATTCCAGTTAAGGGCATGTACCTTGGTTGCGGGCACATGCCCTTGACTGGAATTTCCCAGTAGGGGGCATGCAGGAGGCAGCTGATTGATGTTTCTCTTTCATCAATGTTTCTAACTATCCCTCTCCCTTCCTCTCTGCAAAAAATCAATATATTTTTTAAAAAAGAAATGTGAATTTGAGGGGCAACGAAAATATTCTATTTTGGTGTTGGTTACACAAACTGTATACACTTGTGCAAACTCATAAAATTTTGCACATAAAAAATTTCGCTCCATATAGATTATACCTCAATATATCTGATGTATTAAATACATACATACATACACACACATAATATCTAAGTAACCAATTAGGAAATTCCAAAAAACTCCCTCTCCCTCTCCACATTATGTATATACATATGTACATCTCTGCCTACACAGAAAGACATGGACACACAGAGACATACATAAACCACATTTGAAACTAAAAATAATCCTAAAGATAAAAACAATTATCCCAATTTTTAAAGTAAAGACACAAATTTTGAATTTTAGTGACTCATTTTTAAACTTTGGATTTTGAAATTAGTTTCAAAGTATGTAAAGGCTGCAAGAATAAGAGAACACCTGTACATTTTTTGCCAAAATTCACCAATTTTTGCAGGTTTTTCCTTTCTCTATAGATACATAAATATTTAGTTATTCCAAATCATGTTGGGATATGTTGCATATATAACACTTTTATTTGTAATACTTCCGTGAAAATTTTCAGAAGATAACGTTTATGTCCATGAAATCATTTTATTTGGGGCTTACTATTGATATGTCCAATTAATCCAACACAACCCAAAGCTATTGTCTTACCTCATCGCGTATGTATTATGTATCTCTCTTCTAACGAGATCCCTTGCTCTAAGTACAGGACAAAGCTCAGGGCTCCTACTGGGCAAGCTCCTTATAGGGCAAAGAACAGGGCTCACTAGAATAGGCTGGGGACAATATATTGCCTGATCCTGATCTATGTCCAAAACACAAGTCTGGGACCTGTGTGTCCGACTTTTTCTTTTCAGCAGTGATTGTGTCTGACCTTGAACATATCTCCCTTCTTTTTCACAGTCTCTTACGCCTTCCATTCACCTCTACTTTCCTAAGGTACAGACATACGGAAGCAGTAAGAGTTCTATTGAAATATGATATTTCTTCCTCTACTTATAAGAAATTTTAATTCTTAGTATATTCTGTCTCCTAGTAATTTTAATGGTACAGGTTATATGTGATTACATTTGTGTCCCTTGTTTCAAGAATATTGAGGAAATTCATATTTAAATTTCCAAGCCCAGTTTAAGTGAATTTTGATGAGTTTCTCTTTAGCAGACTTGGTACATATTAAAAAAGATCCAGCCAATAATTAAGAAAAATGTTTAAAAAAAAAACATATACAATAAATATAAGAACATTTGGAATAAAATCCTATGGCCTGAAGCTAAACAAATTACTTTTTAATAAAAGAGAGTTTGTTGATTAATCATTTTTAAGATGCATTCAGAAGATGCATTCTAAAAAGCAGGAAGATAAGAAAAAGATAATAAAA